GGGGGTGAAATACGGTGCCACCTGCTGGAGGATACATACAGCCGCCACCGAGACTACCTAGGCTTAAGCATGCCATGTACGATACCCCTACTAGGCGAGCACAAGAACATGATCGCACCCATGACGGCCACGCCGGAGACTTGTAGGAGTGGAGAGCGAAGGTCATGAGGGCCACCGCCGCCGCGGGCAGGCACAGCGTCTGCGTCACCAGACCCCAGAACTGTCCCACGGTGTACCCAGAATCCACGCTCCATTCCTCCTGGTCCTGCATGACACATGACACATACGTAGATATGTTGTTGTTGTTGTTGTTGTTGTTGTTGTTGTTGTTGTTGTTGTTGTTGTTTATCACCATAAATTTCTCCCCGTCAAGAGCAACCTCCAATCCGTGGTCACACTGAAGCATTTCCTCTCCCTGAGCACCCCGACCCAGCACCGCGAGAAGAGCTCTGCACTCTTTCTACCCCCTCAAAGGTAGCAGCACCACACACGAGCTATCAAGCAGCGGAAACTTTCCGCAACCAGGAACGGAAGCGAGAGAAAAAAACTCGATTTATTGCGCCGGGATTCGAACCCGGGACTTGGTCGCTAAACTAGAAGGTTGCGAAGTGAAATAGAGCGGGGGGATCGGCAGCCAATTGTGGCACAGCAGTACAAGGAAGAAAGAGCACCGAGGGGCTGTCAAGACAAGAAGGACGGGCGAGGAAACGCATGCTGTAGCCGTTAGACCATTGTCCTCGCACCCGTACAGCAGTGCTTCCGGTCCAGGCTACGTTTCACGCTTCACGAGGGTGAACCAGGAAGCTGGTCATCATCCTCGCGTTTGCGGTGCCAATCCAGGGTAAATGGTCATTCCTGAGTGGGCATGCATTCCGGCTAACCAACCAAACTTTTTTACTTGCAGCAGGCGAGACTACATAAAAATAGTGCAAGTGTCGCAAGGGGCTTCGACGGAGGGGAGAGTTGCTTTTCTTCGGAGGAATTAAAAACCTTTCCCCTGTAGTTCGTCAGCACGTCAGTACTACGATGCATACGCGCCCTGCTGCACACCGCCTGCAGTACGTTACTTGGGGGCGACTTTTCGAGCGGAGGAAATGGATACAACGGAGAATGGCGGCTTTATAGACTATGTGTAATGTAGTTGATGCTTGCCGGCGGCGGCTATCCAGCCGTGACGTGCGTCGGTTTGGAAAGCACGAACCTAAAGCAGGGCAGACACACGACGTACAGCAGTTGAACATCGAGTCCCGCTCTCCCCCCCAACACACAAGGCACGGGATCACGCTTTTCAAGGGGTTTGCTGCGGTGCTGGGCATCTTCACAAAAGATTTGCAGCACGTAAGAGAAGCGGCCCGCTGCTGTTGCAGCGTGACCACTCTGTAGAGAAGGTTAGTTGGGGGTTGGAGTGGGGCAATCAGAACGAAGCTGCTGCGGATGTGCCATGGTTGGCTTCATGTGTGTGTGTACCACATGTACGATGCACCGATCTCCGCGCGATTCACGCCTCTATGTTCTCCCATATAACAGCACGGGGTATTTGCCTGATTGGGAATGGCAAACAACAGAGACAGGAGCTCGGAAAGGCAACAAAGCACCCCAGAGGCTCAAGCACAGAAACCTCCGGTGGCACTGCACGGAGAGGGGGCGTACGCAGCTGTCATGGGTCATCCTTTTCTATGCACACCTTTCTGCACCAGGTCCATGATGTGTCTCTTGAGCAACATTCAAGGAAAAATCCATGCACGCGCTAGATAGTGTCTAGATATGATGTACACAGTGACATATCTCACCAGGTAGCCAAACACGACGTAGTCAGCTTCCATGAACCATTGGCCGCCTGAAACGCCCGTCGCAACGAGAGCTGCTGCCAGCAACAAGATGCATCCTTGCTGGAGCCTAGAGGGCACAGCACCCTCCCGCAGCATGGCACCGGGAGACAAAAAAACGTGAGCGTGTGAGCGTGCCGTATGATGATGCGGTGCCACACCAGAGCACCAGAGACCAGAGAGACCATCGACCCCCCCCCCTACTCTAACAAATATAATCTTTTGTGCCCCCCTTTTGCTGCCGCGCCGGCCACCGGCACACCGTATCATCTCTCAGCCCTCCTCTTGCACGCGCGTAAAACCTTGTACCCACTACTGACAAAATGGCGATAACTCGGAGAACTCTCGCGTGCAGGTCGTTAGCTCTGAGAGCAGCGGCAGTACTGTCTGTGTTCCTCGTGGCCCCAGTGCCACACCGGAGAGCTACCGCTTTCTCATGGCAAGTCTTTCCCGGCAGCAAACCAGCGGGGTCAGGACAAGCAGTCGGAGGAAGGTGGATGGGGTGGGAGGCGACAGGCGCTGGGATACGATGCTCTGCTGCTAGGGCAGGGAAAGACGGCGGCTGCAGCGCCAGACACACGGGGTAAGTGGGCGAAGCCCCTCTATGAATGTACGCTGAACAGATGAGTGCGGATATACATGCAACTTGCGTCTGCCCGAGCGCGAAGCGATGTCGTCTATGTTGCGATTCGTCGAGAGCTCAACTGCAACAGACAACAGACCCTTTAGGGCCCTAATGCACATCACCCGCTGTGTTTTGGGTTTTTGAGTCTCGTCGTCAGGATGGGGACGAGGGTATGTTTGCTAGCGATTCTTAGGGTGGGAGGCGCCGGGTTTGATCGCTCATGTGCCGCAAGTTGTTGCGTTGGCCAAGAAGTAGATACAGCAGTTCGAGATAAATGGGGTTCAGCTCGCGTCGAAAAGCACCCGTATACAATATGCATTGTAATGAAACGAAAAGTCCTTATGCATACAGCAGCACCCAGCCGGTTTTCCTCCACTCACTGCTGTGAAGACTCCAACACATCCCGTTCGACTGTGGGTATATCTCGAATGGGTAGTCTTTCTGTCTGTGTAATTATTTTTCCTTAATACAGGCGGTCCATTCTGTGATGTACTCTCCGCATCGTGTGGTGGCTGTCGCCGCCCCAACATGACCTTCCTCTGTGTCACCCCGGCCAGTACGTCAAGCATACCGTATATGACACAAGATAACACACCCCCTTGGCCGATTTTCAAAGCTCAATTTCTCAACAGCAGGAAGAGTCACAGCGCCGAAAACGGCGGCGTTGGAACCGTCTCGTCGGGAGCTGTTCGAAAACGTATTGTTTCGTTTATGCATCCTCTTCGTCGTGGAGTAATCGAGCTTTGAAAATCGGTCCAGGGGGTGTGTTATCTTGTGTCATATACGGTATGCATGCACCGAAACTTGGGTCGGCCGGCTAGCACCAGAAACGATGAAACGATCAACCCCTCGGTAGATCGATTCCATGATATGTACGGGATAAACGTGCCGTTTGATCGGAACCATTAAACATAACATGTAGGTGCAGCAGGGGTAGGCCCGGATTAGCAACCCCTCGAGTCAGGAGTTAATATGGTCGCTATTCAGGGCATGCCGAAATATGCGGCTAATTGTCGGGGTGCAACAGCAGAGGTGCCTCGTGATTTTGTGGTCGCTTACACCTTTGTCTTTATTTGTGTTGTTTTTTTAGCCTGAATATTTTAGAACTCCCAGGTTCTCCTTGTTATTGTTGCAAGTGTTGTTCCACAACGCTGCTGCTTCTGCAGTGGTGATACAGTAGTGGTCCCGGTTTAGCGGTTCCTTCCCTGTTTCGCGGGATACCGTGAATAGCGGTTCCAAAAACCTCGTTGCACGGCGGCACCTCGGTAGTCAGAACTAGTGCTTCGATGTACTTCTGTAATTGCCAACCCTGTGTAGCGGCGATGCCCTCAATAGCGGTTGTAGCATTTTGTGACACCTGTTTGGACAGCTAAATCGGTGGCCACGACTTTAGTGCTGACCATCTTCCCCTTGTTGCAGGAGGCTGGGCATGGTTGCGAGCAACCCGATGGACGTCGCGCCGAAGGGCCGCCCGCTCCTCGACGAACAGTCACCCACGTCGGCGTCTGATTCATCGGCGACGGTGGTGTCGCCGGGAAGACCTCGGCTGCCTGCCGAGCGTAACGTCAACGCCTTCATGAATGACTTCAACGCCGGGGTCGTCGACTTTCTCAAAGGTGAGCAGCAAAGCGACAGCATCGTTTTTTGGGGGAGCAAGCTACAAGCATCGTTTGTACTTGGCACTCCGTCTCGTGGAGCACGGCTGGAGCACGCGCTGCGCCGTGAATAAGAACGTTTGCAGAGAGCGAGAGAGAGAGAGAGAGAGGGACACACAGCCAATGAAGTTTTGGGCAACAGGATAAAAAAAAAAGAATATGCAGCAGCAGCAGCAAGACAGTCGCAGGAGGAGAAGGAAGAGCTGTTGTTTCCCACCAGCGCGGTCGTTTTCGATGCTTTATCTATCATAAGAAGCATATATCGTCTGCCACTCACCCACCCCCCTTCCACGCGGCTCCTCTTTGTCTTCCGGCGGCAGGCCTCATGGTGCAGTACTACGGCGAGCGCACGTACGCGAGGTTCTACGCGCTGGAGACGATCGCCCGCGTGCCGTACTTCGGCTACCTCTGCGTCCTTCACCTTTACGAGACGCTTGGCAAGTGGAGACAGGTGAGCCGACGGATGATCAACAGCAGCAGCAGCCCGTGGCTCACTCGCGTGCCTTTCTATGGCCTTGACTCTACAGATGGTTCTGAGTCATTTGCCGCCCTGAGATACAGTTGTACGCGATGTGTATCAGAACGCGTTGTGCCGACGATCAGCAGCAGCAGCAGCAGCAGCAGCAGCAGCCCTTGGCTTGCTCGCCAAACGTTATTATCTGTATAGGTTGCCGTGGGGCACGGCTGCTTCCCCAATTGAGATTGAAATTTAAATCACGTGATTTTCGATGTCCTTGACTCTGCGCGTTTGGTGATGTTGCCGCCTTGAGATCCAGTTGTACGCGGTGTGTATCAGGATATGGCGTCAGCACTGCGAATTATTCCGCTTTTTTTTTTCACACGTACGCCGGCGGAATATATCACCGACGACAACAATAGTAATAGCATCAATACCACCGCCTCCTACACCGCCACCGATGATAAAAACAACAACAACAACAACAACAACAACAACAACAACAACAACAGGCGGAGTACCTCAAGGTCCACTTCGCCGAGAGCTACAACGAGCTTCACCACCTCCTCATCATGGAGGAGCTCGGAGGGAACGTGCTCTTTAGAGACAGGCAAGGAAAGGAAGCACCTTGTCGATCGCAGAATTTCGTCGAAATCCGCAGGCAACTGCTTGTTCTCTTTTTCTTGTCTGTCCTTACATTTGGTTGTCTTGCGTGTCTTTCTTCGTCTCGAAACATGTACCACCCCCCCCGCTCCCCGTTACTATCTTTCCGGGTGGTTTTCGTAGCACGCGGCGTTTTTTTTGTCTGTTGTCATTCCTGACGCTTGCTTGGCTTGCGTGTCTTTCTCTGTCTCGTAACGTGTACCCCTGCTCCCCGTTAACATCTATCCTACAGGTGGTTTGCGCAGCACGCGGCGTTTTTCTACTTCTTCGTTGTGGTCGGGCTGTACCTTTCCAACCCGAGGAATGCGTACAACTTGAACCAGGTGTGCATGCCCCCCCCCAAAAAAAAAAAAAAAACAGAAAAAGAAACGCTACAACGTATTGTTCAACCTCGTTCGTGAGGGGAAGAAACATAGACATGCGTTAGAGCAGAAAGTTGTTTGCTGCGGCCGTCTTTTGGTGTTTCTCACCTTTTTTTTTTTTTTACCGTAGGTTGCACAAGAGATACCACACACGCACAGTAGTGAACCGAATTTCAAAGATTTTAGTAATATACTATTTTCACCACTCAGGAAATATTGCCCACAATGCAGCATGGCGCCCAGTCACGTTGTCTCCCATTCTTATTTCGCTCACGGAGCAAGCAAGCACCGCACTAGCGTCGTCTGCGTCGTGCTGTCTGAAGGATCTGGAAACTGGCTGGGTTTTAGCTTTGACAAGGCGATTTTTGGTGGTTGCCTGCTCACCTGCTGGCTTGCTCCGCTTCGTGTCGCCCGACCCTCTGCGCCTGGGTCAAACTCGCTGCGAATGAAAAAACTCACAACGATGTGGCAAATGACAGCACGTGGAGGAACACGCGTTTTCGACGTACGACAGTTTCCTCTCGGACAACCAAGAGGCGCTCAAGCAACAGCCGGCGCCGGAGGCAAGTCTTGGGTGTTTGGTAGGGAGTTGCTGCCGTTTTCGTTGACGTCGTCAATAAAATCTTGAATCAAAGCAACCGCTAAAACGAGACCGATAATAGCAACTTAAGACATTTCATGAAATGTCCATGCATTGTAATATTATAGTATTTGGATTTAAAGATGAAGTACCAAATGAAAAATGGTATTCAATCGGCATACCTCGTCCTCCTCCCCCCCCCCCCTCGTCGTTCCGTGTAGTCCGTTGTTCTCTCTTCTCTTCTCTTGGGTAACGCAAGTGCGTTTGGCGCCGCTTTCACCGGCAAGCGTCTGCGCGCGATCATGCCCGTTTCGACCCGCAACCGTTGCCCCAAGTTGGCCTTCGAACGTCCACACACCACCAACAGCAAGAGCAACAATGACGCTGCAGCGGCGAATCGTTGGTTTTGCGTGTCCGGCCGGCCTTGTTAGTAAACGGTCGCCGAACTCCGTACTCTCGAAGTCAACACGCTGCCAATCGAATTTAAATTTTTTCATATTGACCGGACCTGATGTCCTCTGCCTCTGCCTGTCCCGTCCGCCCGTCTGTGTGTGTGTTTTTTTTATTATTATTAGCATCGACCGCGCTAACCCGCTGACCAATGAAAAGACGTCTGTCTTAGTGCGGTTGAAAATACAAAACACTTCTAAATGCCTTTAACCCGTCTTTGTGTGTGTGTC